ATCAACGAGGGGCACTCCCCCTTCCATGCCCAGCCAGGTCTCGGTGATACCTGCCAGGTCCGCACCCCCCTCTTGAATAAGATCTTGGATGAGGGGGGCCTTATTTACCACGGACCTGGCGTTGCATAACATCAGCCGGTGATCCCGGGCCCGAGGATCTAAGATCCCTGGAAGCCGGATAGAGCCCTGAGGACCGGAGTACCCACAAGCTTGTAAACAGCGTGTGCGAGCTCCCAAAACCCGATATGGTCCTCTGCTCCAGCCATATCTGCCCCTCCCATTTCTGGCAAAGCAACACCCAGCTTTGCTACCACTCCCCATCCTGGCCCCATCTTGTTAATATGAAACGTCTGGGGGGGGGAAGCCTCCTTTCTTGATTAACCCCCCAGTTAAGTCAATTGAGAAAAATTCCATAAGCCTCTGGAGATGAATTGCTGGTCCTTTTCATCCTTTTCCACTTTGAAAAAGGGGGGGACACTCCCTCACTTTGTTCCTACCTATCAACCAGCCCCCTGCAATGTGGGCCTGTCTGGGGGGGGGGGTTGAAAGAGAGGGATAATAAGTTATTTACACTGAAGGTTTCACTTTAATATCTAACTTTCTTCCCCGTCTCTTTTTTTCTACAGCACTCATGAATTAATCCTGCTGTCCTTCCTGCTTCCTGGTGGGAAAGGAAGGGGCTTTTTTCCATTAGCTGATGAATTTCTGTCTCTTTTTTGCAACCTCTGAAAAATGGAGGGTCAAGATTTTAGATTAGGGAGAGAATGGCAGCCTGGAGCTTCTCCTGCTGAGACACCTCTAGCTTTCCTTTGAAGGCCTCTCTTTCTTTTGAGGGAGCAGTGGAGACCATCTAGACTGACCCCAGGGACTCTGGACCTGCCTGTCAGTCCAGACACCCAAATCTCTCCTGGCTTTAAATCCACAGCAGCTTCATCTTCATTACTCTTCATCCGAATACCTTCCCTTTGCTTTGCTATAAAAGGATAAACATTGTAAGAAAAATCCTGGAATTCCTCCTTCCTTCCTCTTCCTCCTCCTCTTTCCTCTCCCTTCCCTGCAGAAGGGTCCTCCCTTCTGCCCTTCCCCTCCCCAGATTGATACCTCCCCTGCCTCTGGATCAACCATCCCAACTACTTCAGGTTTAAAGTTAAAACTGGTTTGGGAGGAGGATGGGCAGATCCAGGGAGGGGAAGGGGCAGGACCCCCCCTCCTGCTCTCCTTCCCCTCAAGCCCACCTTTGAGGACCAGGATGCCAGGAGGCATGGTCCCCTTCAAGCACTTGTGGGGAGCCATTGGGGGACACCCGAGACTCCCCTTACACT